ATAGCTCTACAATGATTAAAACATCTTCGTCCTTTCGTAGCAGTAACACTACTCTCTAATCGGATTTAAATAGAAAGAAACGTTCGTTAATTTCGATTTCGTGAACGGTGATATTTGGTTATGACGAAGTTCGAAGGAATGTGAAATTCCGACTTAAAAATGTGTTAATTATATGAACATTATGCAGAATGGAAAGGATATTATTTTGGTACCTGGTACCTGAAAAGTCCATGAAATTAGATAATTGTCGAAATGAATGTTGGTAGTAGTAGTAATCTTTGTGCCAGATCCTAGTTATTTCGCCACGGTTGGGAGGATAGGTCGTGGGAAAACGGATGTAGGTTAATCGACGAGTTCATAATCTGACTGCGTTTGGATGAGTCGGTAAGCTGTCATTAATCAGTCTACGAAAAACTATACGTTAATCGGCACGGGCTGTCGTACATTCTTGAAGTGAAAATGGTGAAGCAAGCATTCGCTCGCGACCCGAAATTCGGGTCTCGTTCGAAATTAGACTGTGATTCCTTTTCCCTCCAATCGCTCTATACATATACATAACTATATTTGTATATATATAATATAATAATATAATATAAATATAATAATATATTATTATATAATAATAATTATTATTATATTATAATAATAATTATTATTATATATATATATATATATTATAATATATTATATATATACATATACATATATAAAAATTAAATTAAAAATACACATTCCACAAATTGGAACGTCGAAATTTTTAAAAAGTAAAATATTCCTTTTAGCAATGATTGAAAATCAAGTTTTAACAATTATTTACTGGTCTGCGAATTTCCTAAAGTCTCTGCAATCTACAATTTTTGAACGCAAGTGAAGGATTGAAATCTGCAAAATAATGAGATAAACATACAGTTGTTCAATATTTCTTCATTGCAAATTAAATGCTTCATCAATAAAATTCGAACGGTTCGTTAAGGTTATTTACTATAAACTATATTAACTTCTGCTAGCATTTCTGAAAACGAAGATCTTCAGAAGAATCGTTTATTAATTTTCACTTTAAACTCTTCCTGTTTTAGCATTGAAATCACGATAACACAAATGTAAAATAATACAAATATGAAATAATAGAATCGTTAAATTGCGACTTAAACAAGCTCGGTAATATTCGATATTCTTTCGCTATTAATAAAGTACATGATTACGTTGAGTCAATTCCATAATCTGAAACTAAAGGAGATGTCTTTTTAATCGGAATTATACGCATTTGCAATGTATTCCAGTTTCGTGAATGTTTATGGAAAATAAACCTATTTCGCATGTAGTTCGCAGGAAATTGTAGTCGAACGGAAACTTATTTCATCCCCCAACGATTTCACTAAGCCAATAACAATGTACCAGTATCCATAAATTCATTCCACTGTTTTGCAATTTCATCAACGCAAGGAACAATGTAAAGCGCATTCGAACTTCGCTGGTGATAAATAACAAGCCGTTAAAATTACAACAAATCCCATGCGATCGGATCAGAAATTTGACAGGCTACACGTTAATATGAGATAATAAAATCTTGACGCATAAATGACCGCGAAGTTGCAAGCCGCTCCTCCGAGCACGGTTGTCGAACGATTAGAGGGAAAGTTTCGTACGATGATTTATCAATTTCGTTTTCAAACGGCTCACTTTTCCAGCGTCGAAATCGCTCGAAACGGGAACAACAGGAGTACAGGCGGGGCCCGGGGCGGGGATGGATTTTCACGGGAGGATCTCGATATCTTGACGGTTGTTGTTCGCGCGGCGGCGGCGAGTGCATGCACGGGATGCACGTGAAAGCTCGCTGCAGTCGCCGATAACCCGTATCTCATCGCGGAGACATAAATTCCTGGGTCGAGGCGGCATAGAATAACATCGACCCACTTCTTCGTCAACTACTTTCACTTGCTCCGGCCAGACGCACACGCGACTCATTCGAAGAATTCCCGAATAATCTCTTCATCTGGCCATCCCCGCCCTTTCCCGAGCCGTTTCGGATACTTTCCTCGTCCCTTTTTCTCTCGGCCGCCGTTCCATCGAGAGGACCAGAAGTTGCGACCGGAAGCTCCCAGCTAACGATTCCAACGTCCGATCGCGCGAAATTAACACCGAAAAAAGCGAGCCGTCTCTTCCTGGGATTCTCAACCTCGATTTCATCGGACGCGCGCGCGGCGTCTCGATTTTTCCTCGGCCGTGGCCCCGCGCGTTCGCCGCGATTTCTAATTACGAGAGAGAAATTAACGTCGGCAAGCTAATTTCGTGCAGTCCTTCCTCTTCACCGCCTCGAACACGTCCTGGAGACCGTTCTCATTGGCCACTCGAGAAGACGTCCTAAATCGGGAATCGAAAACGGCGGCGTTTGAGAAAAATATGTACACATATACAGTTGCGGACAAAATTGAGTGGACAGGCGGCAGTGGAAATGGTTATAAATAAAAAATTTAGTCGAACTAGTATTATTACTATACACACAAGTTTTGTATAGTACACATATCCTTATGGTACATAGAACGTTTTGTGCAAAACTCAAGTTAATGTTTATACTTTTGTACACAGAAATCGTACTTAACGGCAAAGTTAGCAAATTTCTCAGGGACAAAAATGAGTGGACAGTCGACTTATTCCGGCGAGAAACATAAACAAACGTAGGATATAGCTATTCGCCATGCGTAATACTTGCAAACGTAAACAAAACATCTGCACACGTATTTAATTGAAGTATAGACTTTGTACAAAGCAGAACAATTGACAGAATGTCTCGAAGAAAAGAAATTTCGTATCAAGTTCGACATTTGATTGCTTCGGACTGTTCCAAAAAATTAAGTTATCGTGTGATAGCAGAAAAATACGGAGTATCAAAGAGTGCAGTGGAAAAAATTTATAAAAAATATTTATCACACGATACAGTGGAAAATTTAAGAGGTCGCGGTCGGAAACGCTGTATCACTGTAAGAGAAGATCGTCAAATTATTCGACAATGTCGTCAAAATCCAAGCATCGCGTCGCGTAATATTCAAGAAACCTTAGAATTAAATGTGTCATC